CTGCAAACGGCCCTCAGCCCCTCAGCCAGGATGGCCAGGCACCCCAGGGGGGACCCCTACCCTGAAGGGGCTGTGGCCAGCCTGCAAACGGCCCTCAGCCCCTCAGCCAGGATGGCCAGGCACCCCAGGGGGGACCCCTACCCTGAAGGGGCTGTGGCCAGCCTGCAAACGGCCCTCAGCCCCTCAGCCAGGATGGCCAGGCACCCCAGGGGGGACCCCTACCCTGAAGGGGCTGTGGCCAGCCTGCAAACGGCCCTCAGCCCCTCAGCCAGGATGGCCAGGCACCCCAGGGGGGACCCCTACCCTGAAGGGGCTGTGGCCAGCCTGCAAACGGCCCTCAGCCCCTCAGCCAGGATGGCCAGGCACCCCAGGGGGGACCCCTACCCTGAAGGGGCTGTGGCCAGCCTGCAAACGGCCCTCAGCCCCTCAGCCAGGATGGCCAGGCACCCCAGGGGGGACCCCTACCCTGAAGGGGCTGTGGCCAGCCTGCAAACGGCCCTCAGCCCCTCAGCCAGGATGGCCAGGCACCCCAGGGGGGACCCCTACCCTGAAGGGGCTGTGGCCAGCCTGCAAACGGCCCTCAGCCCCTCAGCCAGGATGGCCAGGCACCCCAGGGGGGACCCCTACCCTGAAGGGGCTGTGGCCAGCCTGCAAACAGCCATAAGCCCCTCACCCAGGCTGGCCAGGCACCCCAGCAGGACCCCCCACCCTGAAGGGGCTGTGGCCAGCCTGCAAACAGCCATTACAGCCAGTACAGCAGTGGTGGTGGGAGCCTCTCCCGCCTCCTCGGCAGCGCTAAGGATGTCCAACTGCAGCTTAGGCCTGCTCCCCGCTGGCAAGTAGACATCCCCCGAGGGCTCCCGGGCTGTCAGAGGGATGTCTGACTGCCAGCTTAGGCCCAATCCCCCCAGGGTGGGGGCCTAAGCCAGCAGGTGGTCATCCCCCGAGGGGTCCCAGACTTCGAGAGGGCACAGGCCGGGCTGAAGGACCCCCCCGAGTGCACAAATTTTTGTGCACCGGGCCTCTAGTAAGTACATAAGGAAGTAACTACCATGGAGTATCAGAAGTGTGAGACTGAAGGATGTATGAGATATAAAGGTCATGGAGGACATAAAACTGGAGAGAGGTCATGAATATTTCACGTGGAGCCCAGCCAGCGTGGCTCAGTGGTTAAGTGTTGACCTATGAACCAAGAGGTCATGGTTCGATTCCAGGTCAGGGCATATGCCCAGGTTGTGGGCTCTATCACCAGGGTGGGGAGTGTAGGAGGCAGACGATCAATGAGTCTCTCTCATCATTGATGTTTCTCTCTCTCTCCCTCTCTGAAATCAATAAATTACATTTTTAAAAAATATTTCACATGGAGGTAAAATGTAAGCGGAGTTTAAATGGATAAATAGGAGTCCACCAAGCAGACAAGGGGAGAAAGAATTTCCAGGCAGAAAGAACAGAATGTAAAGGGTCACAAATATATAATCACATGATGTATTCGGAAATATAATAATTTTTATTGGATAACTTAAATGCAAAGAAGATAGTGTTGAAAAGGAGAATAAAAACACAAGAACATGAAATACCATGAAGGGCCTGTGTGGAATACAATGGAGTTTTGATATAGGTGATGGGGAGTCATATTAAGGGGAGCAGCATAGCTCTGTTGGGTTGCCAGGTATCTAGTGATCAGGGAGGATGAGACAAACTGAAAGTAATAATCAAGCCTTTGCTCACTTACTGCAAGTGTGAACAAGAGGCCAAAAAGGATGTTTTGTTCCCCTTGTTCCATTTTCCCCCTACAGAATAGCAGTGAGCTAGGGTCAGGTGACATGCAATGCAGGTGGGGGAAATCTTCCTACTGCTGAGGAATTCTGGAAAAAGGTTCTGCCATTCGATGGACTTGAGGACCAGTGGGAGGGAAAGAGGGAAGGCTAAAAATGGAAAGTTCTGAGTCAGAGGGGAGGAAAACGTCTCAACAAAGGGCCTTCAAGTGGAAGCACCGGGCTAGGAATACAGTGTACATTCGAGCATGGCTGGCCGAGTGGAATGTTCTGAGTCCTTGCCATCCCAGCGAAAACCAGAATGCAGGACACTGGCTGTGCACCGAGTCCCATGTGGGGAGGGCAGCTTCTCCTGTGAGGCCTGCCAAGGAAAGCCAGCACATGGTCAGGCTGAAGGAGCACGCAGAGGTTTGGGCCTGGAGCCAGATTGCTCAGGTCAGCTCTTTCATCTCCAAGAATCACTCATCAACAATGTGGAAGATGGACTGTATGGAGAGGATTCACAGTGATGATGAGACAAGCAGTAATCTAGGTTGGACATGGAGACCTGAACTGATAAAGTGATTGACCCTAATCCATGTAGAAAAGAAAGTGATTCCAGGAAGTGATAGACTGTAAGAAAATGGGGGGCAGCAAGGGACTGGAAGACTAGGTCAGGTGCAGTGAGGGGAAGAGCTCAAAGGGCAGGGGGCAGTTATGAAGTGGGGTTTGAGAGCCCATGACTTCCAAGGTGGAATGACTGCAGGTTATTTCAAGGACAATGGTGTATTCAGGTATGCAGAGTACTAAAGTAGAGGAGAAGTCAAGAATACAAAGTTAGCCCTAACCGGTTTGGCTCAGTGGATAGAGCACCGGCCTGCTGACTGAAAGGTCCCAGGTTCGATTCCGGTCAAGGGCATGTACCTTGGTTGCGGGCACATCCCCAGTGGGTGGTGTGCAGGAGGCAGCTGATCGATGTTTCTCTCTCATTGATGTTTTTAACTCTCTATCCCTCTCTCTTCCTCTCTGTAAAAAAATCAATAAAATATATTTTTTAAAAAGAATACAAAGCTATAGGTCCTTTTTATCAAAGAAATCACTCAAGGTGATAGCAGATGACAGTGACAATGGGTTTAAGAATAACAGAAGTGGACCACATGAGCTTTTTGTTTAAGGATAAAAAGAGTAATTGTTTGGAAACAGTAGAGAGAGAGACTATTACTAACCCTCCCCAGTCCAGAGATATGAAGATGTGGAGGAAAGAGCAGCTTCCCAAGAGGGAATCAGAGACTAGAAAGAACTTATCTCTCGCCAGTGTGGCTCAGAGATTAGAGGGTCAGCCCATGTACCGAAGGGTCAGGAGTTCTAATCAAGAACAAAAAAAAATTTTTTAAACTCACTGGAATAGAAAAATACTTATTATTGTCTTTAAGCTCAGAAATAGTTTCTAAGAATGTCTGTGTTGCAAGAACTTAAAAAAAAAAAAAGAGGCCATTTAATTTACTCTAGTAAACCCACAGGACTGTACTTCCACCCTAAAAACAAAGCTTAACGTTTCTGGATAAGGCAATTTCAATAATTATAACCTTAAAAAGTAATCTTTTCTGCCCTGGCTGGTTTTGCTCAGTAGATAGAGCACTGGCCTACAGACTGAAGGGTCCTGGGTTTGATTCCAGTCAAGGGCACATGCCCCAGTTGGTGGGCTTGGTCCCCAGTGAGGGGGGGGGGGTGCTGGAGGCAGCCAATCAGTGATTCTCTCTCATTACTGATGTTTCTATCTCTCTCTCCCTCTCCCTTCCTCTCTGAAATCAATAAAAAAAATAGACATTTTTTTAAAGTAATATTTTCTACTACTTACAAAACCATAATTGAGGCTGTGCTTTCAGATGTTTACTCTGAAGCTTTTAATCGAACCCTACATCCTCTGGTTCTGTCCAGGAGGAAAAGTGACTCATGATCTATATCATTACTCTTCAAATAACATATAGTTCACCCTTTTCACCCTGTTGAAGACTTGCCTCTTGGGTCCAGCTCTATAAAATCCTAAAAAGAAATAGACATAGCTTTTCATTGGCCTAACATAAAAAGACAGACTATAAGCAGTAGCCTGGCTAGATCTGAAGAGGCATGATTAGAGTTCTGATTCATACATATACAATGGATTTATTCAAGGTGATTTATTAAGGGTGACCTGGCTGAGACATCTGTTATTAACTGATTACCAGAGCTAATTGGTCTTATTTGACTAATATAGATTAGTTGTTTCCTTCCTCCCTTACATATCCTACATGCGTACCTCCGCAAATTGTGTCATCCTAAGTTCTAAACTAGCGTTTCAGATAAACTCTCTACTTTAGTCATAAAAGGAATGATACCCACTACCTATCATTACTGAGCTGTTACTGTGTGCCAGATGCTGTGCTGCTTTATACAGAACTCATGAATCTCGATGACCTTCTGTGTAATGTAAAATATGGCAATTCACCTAGTAAATAAATTAGAATGCTTACTGTTGTACTCTACATATAATATTTTTAACTCATAGACATAATAAATAATAATAAATAAAATAGATAAAATAATATTTTGGATAATCTGAATAATTCACATCTCTTCCATTAAATATTTAATCAAATCCTTTCAGTCTGCAGGCCGGCGCTAAACACTTTAACTATAAAAGAGTTAAAATATCAAAGGTGTAGCCTCCTTTGAGAGTCCTTATCCCTTCCTGAAAGATGTACTAACATGTTTTAAAGTGGACAAAAGAATGGCAGAAAGAGTGAAAAATCAAGTCATATGAGAAATTGATTAAACCAATTAAGTATTATTTATTTCCCATTTATAAGGATGCTTTATAAAACTCTTTTTTTTAGAAAATAGATTCACCCACAGGACCATAGACATGGAAGCATAGAACAGACAGAGGAAAGGTGGGAGGGAGGGCGGGAAGAGATTAATCAAAGAACTTATATGCATATATGTATAGCCAGGGACACAGACAATAGACAGGTGAAGGCCTGGGGTGTGGTGGGAGTCCAATAGAAGGAGGCAAAGGGGGGGAAATGGGGGACATCTGTCATACACTCAACAATAAAATAAGTAAATCCTGCCTAAGTTGCTTCTTTCTTGAATGAATTTTAGCATTCATCAGAAGGATGATAATAAATACTTTAAATAATATGACAATTTTGAAAATTTATGTTTATCTTTCACAATGCTAATAAGTATGAAAGCAATAGTACTTACCTCCTTTGCACTTTTAATTTTACTCAGAAATGTATGCAGTTCCATTGTTTCCGCAAACAGTGCACGACATACTGCCTGATAATGATTTGGTGCCTCTGATTCAGTTGGGAGATGAGCAGCACATAACTACAGAAGAAGAAAATAATGATGCTTGTTTATTATTTGGGTTTTTTGTACCTTACTAGTAAAAACAGACACATCTAGTATATTTGTATTTTCACATCAGACAGCAAGGCAATTCCGCAATTCCCACTAGTCAAAGCTTAACGCATCACAAGACCATCAGTAAGTGGTCCACTAAACTAACAAATATCCAACAGCACCATCGAGCTTACTAGAATTAGTTAGCGCCTATTTGAAAATGATAGAATAATAGCAATGGATAGGTCAAGAAAACAAAGTAAAATAATCAGTTGTGATAGTTCAGATTCAGAATCTTCCTATAAATAAATGGATCACAATTGTTGTTTATTCCATTTTAAAAAGAAGAATGCATAAGTCAATTGAAGACATATGATAACCTTTATCAGATAAAGGACATATTAATACCTAAAAGTGGTTTTTAAAAGGCCATATTGAAGCTCTGAACAAATCACAGAATCGAGAAGTCTAAGAACTATTATCAAATACTGAATCATCAATTTTTTTAAGTGAAATAACTCTTGAAAGAAATCAGTACTATGTAAACTGCTGCTTTACCTTCATGACATCTCTATATGACCGGATAGCTGAAATTTTTCTCTTTTCATCTTCTTCATCTTCCAGGCCTTCATCTGCAGCCTCATAACCCTCATCATTGCTACCATCTGCTTCGACCGTGTTGGCCATGTGATCGATAAGTTGCTCCAGGGGAGGACTTAATTCTCTTTCTTCATTCTCCTTCAAACCATAGTCCAGTGCTTTATAAATAATAATACCCAAAGATTCAATAACCTAGAAACATTAAAAAAAGTGGTTAATGGAGGTGACTAAACATTTTTATAGAACTGTAAGACCTTCAACTGATTAGGGAGGCCCACACATCTTAGGGAGGGCAATCTGCTTTGCTCAGTCTACCAATTTAAAGGTTAGTCTCATTAAAAAACCCTTCCCTGCCTGCCCGCAATGGCTCAGTGGTTGAGCATCAACCTATGAACCAGGAGGTCATGGTTTGATTCCCTGTCAGGTTACATGGCCGGATTGCTGGCTCAATCCCCAGTTGGGGGAGTACAGGAGGCAGCCAATCGGCGATTCTCTTTCATCACTGATGTTTCTCTCTCTCTCCATTCCTCTCTGAAATCAATAAAAAAATAAATTTTTAAAAATATAAATAAATAAACCCTTCCCTATTAAAATACCAATGGCATATTTCATAGATCTAGAACAAATACTCCAAAAATTCATATGGAACAAAAAAAGTCCCCGAATAGCCGCAGCAATCTTGAGAAAAGAGCAAAGTTGGAGGGATCACAATAGCAAATATCAAGTTATACTACATAACTTTGGTTATACTATAAAGCTACTGTAATCAAAATAGCTTGGTACTGGCACAAGAACAGGCATATAGATTAATAGAACAGAAAAGAGAATCCAAAAATAGACCCACACCATTATGGTCAACTAATATTTGACAAAGAAGGCAAGAACATACAACGGACTAAAGACAGTCTCTTCAACAAATGGTGCTGAGAAAATTGGACAGCAACATGCAAAAAGATGAAACTAGACCACCAACTTACACATAGATAAAAATAAACTCAAAATGTGTAAAAGACTTAAATGTCAGTTGTGAAACCATAAAAATCCTAGAAGAAACCATAGGCAGCAAAATCTCAAACATCTCAGGTTGCGCAATTTTCGCCAAAAAATCTGCTAGGGCAAGAGAAAGGAAAAAAATAAACAATGGTACTACGTCAAACTAAAAAGCTTCTGCACAGTAAAAGAAACCATCAAAATGAAAAGGGAACCCAATGTATGCGTGAACATATTTACCAATGATACATCTGATAAGGGGTTAATATTCAAAATATATAAAGAACTCATACATCTCAACAAAAGGAAGACAAACATTCCAATTTAAAAAATGGGCAAAGGACCTAAATAAACACTTCTTCAACACAGATATAAGGAAGGCCAAGAGACATATGAAAAAATGCTCGAAGTCATTAATCATCAGAGAGATACAAATTAAAACAACAATGAGGTATCAGCTCACACCTGACAGAATGGTTATCATCAACAAATCAACAAATGACAAGTGCTAGTGAGGATGTGGAGAAAAGGGAACCCTAGTGCACTACTGGTGGGAATGCAGACTGGTACAGCCACTGTGGAAAACAGTATGGAGTTTCCTAAAAAAATTAAAAATGGAACTGCCTTTTGACCCAGTGATCCCACTTCTAGGACTATATCCTAAGAAACCTGAAAGACCAATCAGAAAGAATGTATGCACCCCTATGTTCATAGCAGCACAATTTACAATAATTAAGATCTGGAAATAGCCCAAATGCCCATCAGTAGACAAGCGGATTAAAAAGCTGTGGTACATTTACACCATGCAATACTATGCAGCTGTAAAAAAGAAGAATCTTGCCCTAACCGGTTTGGCTCAGTGGATAGAGCATCGGCCTGCGGACTGAAGGGTCCTCGGTTCGATTCCAGTCAAGGGATTGTACCTTGGTTGCGGGCACATCCCCAGTTGGGGGTGTGCAGGAGGCAGCTGATCGATGATTCTCTCTCATCAATGTTTCTAACTCTCTAACCCTCTCCCTTCCTCTCTGTAAAAAATCAATAAAATATATTTAAAATAAAAATAAAATAAAAAATATTTTTAAAAAAAGAAGAATCTCTTATCCTTTGAGACAGCATAGAGCAGCGGTTCTCAACCTGTGGGTCGCGACCCCTTTGGCGGTCAAACGACCCTTTCACAGGGGTCGCCTAAGGCCATCCTGCATATCAGATATTTACATTATGATTCATAACAGTAGCAACATTACAGTTATGAAGTAGCAACGAAAATAATTTTATGGTTGGGTCACAACATGAGGAACTGTATTTAAAGGGCCAGAAGGTTGAGAACCACTGTTCTAGAACATGGTTTGTTTTCAGCTTCTGTAAAGTAGTAACTGCTAATAATTTGCTCTTTTAAAATCTCAACCTTTGCTCTTGCTGGTTTGGCTCAGTGGATAGAGAATCAGCCTGCGGACTGAAAGGTCCCGGGTTTGATTCTGGTCAAGGGCACATACCCAGGTTGCAATTTGTTCATAGTTTTTTTTTAAACTATAGTCCGGCCCTCCAATGGTCTGAGGGACAGTGAACTGGCCCCCTGTTTAAAAAGTTTGAGGACCCCTGGATAAGTGAAGGCCTGGGAGAGGTTGGTGTGGAGTGGAGGGGGTCAATGGGACAAAAAAGGGAGAGGAGCCTGGCCCATGTGGCTCAGTGGTTGAGCATATGAATCAGGAGGTCACAGTTCAATTCCTAGGTTGAGGGCTCGATTTCCAGTGGAGGATGTGCAGGAGGCAGCCGATCCATAATTTTCTATCATCATTAATGTTTCTGCCTCTCTCCCTCTCCCTTCCTCTCTGAAATCAATTTTAAAAAAATTTTTTAAAGGGGAGAGGGGATATCTATAATACATTCAACAATAAAGATAAATTCTTTAAAAAGACTCTCAGATGAGATTAAAAAGAGAGATAATCTAGCAACATATTGTTCACCATAAATACAACTAAAACAAAAACGATGTTTAATAGTTGAGCATTGACCTATGAGCCAAGAGGTTACAGTTCAATTTCCAGTCAGGGCACACGCCCCAATTGCATGCTCAATCCCCCAGTAGGGGGCATGCTGGCGGCAGCCAATTGATGTCTTGCTGCTCTCACTCCTACTCCCTTTTTCTCTCTCTCTTCAAAAATCAATTTTTAAAAATCTTAAAGAAAAAAATTGTACAATTCAATGGTTGTTAGTATATTCAGAGTTATGCAATCATGACCACAACAAATTTTAGAACATTTTCATCACCCCAAAAGAAACCCCATACCCATTAGCAGTCACTCCCCATTTTTCCCTAACCCCATTCTCTCCCCCACTAGTATACAACCATTATCTACTTTCTATCTCTGTAAATTTAGCTATTCTGGATGTTTCATATAAATTGAATTATATAGTATGTGATCTTTTGTGACCTGCTTCTATCACTTAGCATGGCTCATTACATACTCCAACCACATTGTAGCATGTATCAGTACCACAATTCTTTTTATTGCCAAATAACATTATATTGCATGAATGTAACACATTCTCTTCACCCATTCATCAGTTGATTTTCAGTTGTTTCTAAAATTGCCTAATTTTAATAGGTAAGATTATATAAAAAAATTTTGCAGTAAGATTTTTCCAAGTAAATAAATATATCAACATAATCTATTCACTATAGTAAAAATATATTTAAAATGTTTTACTACAATGTATAAAATGTACTACTTATAGTTAATAGCATATTCTGACATATTATTTACTGATATTAAAACAAACAAGTTACCAAACTATGAATATAACTATCGCATAGAAGTTTTTATTTCTAAACCAAATCCTGCTTCTTTCAAAACTAGTTCTTAAATTCTGATTCTGCACCAGAGGTTATGACTTTTGTGCTGGAAAATTACTGACTTCACTTTTCAGTTCACAATTGCTTTCCTTGTTTCACTCTTTTTTTTAACCTCCATGGACTTGCTCCAGTCTACTTCACAGACCTTATTTCTTTCTACTCCCTTTCTTACTTGTACGGTGCTGACCTACTAATTGTCCTTACAGGCGATCTAAATCTTGTAGAAGCACTTATATTCAAAACTCTGCAAAAGTACACTGATTTTCCTAAGTCTTTTGTTTTTGAAACTTCCGTCTTTTACTAAGCTTTTAATTTAAAACTTCATCCCTCCTTCAATTTAAATTTTTCTGCTTTAGACGGGGTCAAAAAGTTTTCTTCTAATAACTGACAAGTTCCAAGGCACAAAAATCTCACTGGACTGTGTGGTCGAGGCCACATCTGTTTTGGTCACTGTTGTATTCTTGGCACCCAGCAAAGAGTATGCATAGTTATTCATGTATATTAGTAATATTTTGTTGAAAGAGTGAATAGTTCTTTTCTGACGAAACTCCAAAAGGCAGATGACGCCGGTGCTACGGAAGGGCCCAGGGGCCCCACGGCCCCGAAATAGGAGGTTGTGGCAATTTGGCAGTGGCATTAGGGGCCGGGGTCACGGCTGGGGTCAGGGCAGGGGCTGAGGCCGTGGAGCTCGTGGAGGCAAGGCCGAGGGCAAGGAGTGGATCCCTGTCACTAAGCTGGGCCTCCTGGTCAAGGACATGAAGATCAAATCCCTAGAGAAAATCTGTCTATTCTCCTTGCCCATCAAGGAATCTGAGATCATTGACTTTCTCTTGGGGGCATCCCTCAAGGATGAGGTCTTGAAGATTATGCCCGTGCAAAAGCAGACACATGCTGGCCAGAGGACCCAGTTCAAGGCATTTGTCCCACTGGGGACTACAATGGACATGTCAGTCTGAGTGTTAAGTGCTCAAAGGAAGTAGCCACTGCCATCCGTGGAGCCAGTATCCTGGCCAAGCTCTCAATTGTCCCTGTGCGGCGAGGCTACTGGGGAAACAAGATCGGCCAGCCCCACACCGGTCCTTGCAAGGTGACTGGCCGCTGTGGCTCTGCACTGGTGCGCCCCATCCCGGCCCCCAGGGGTACGGGCATTGTCTCGGCCCCTGTGCCCAAGAAGTTGCTGATGATGGCCGGCAGTGACGACTGCTACGCCTCGGCCAGGGGCTGCACTGCCGCCCTGGGCAACTTCGCCAAAGCCACCTTTGATGCCATCTCTAAGACCTACAGCTATCTCACCCAGATCTCTGGAAAGAGACTGTGTTCACCAAGTCTCCCTATCAGGATTTCACTG